AAGATTCTAGTGCGTGGTGGTACCGAAGGCACAACGGGATTTCCTGAGGCATGGTTCTACTCAAAGAACGCAATTAACGGGGACGCTATACTGAAAACAATCTATCAACCACTGCGAGAATTAGATTATTAACCCCACTGAATAAAACAAACAAGGTCGAGACTAAGGCAAGCGAATCAGACGACGGGATCAATCGCGGAATCGGTCGGCAAGATTAGCAGGTCTCGAACCAGAGACGTTAAGTTCAGATTTCGCTTGAATGTCCGCCAATGAGAACACGAGTGAATCGTTTAATCAATGAGATCACCCACCGGGACGTTCCGTCATACTCAAAAGTCATTCTGTTCAGAATTGTGTGTAACCTTACGGAAACCTCCACTAGACGCGCAACCACCTGAGCAAAGCTCCGTTCTGTCTGAGAAAAAAGCACTTATAAATTTAGCTGGATTGCAGCAACCCGACCACCATATATAGATCCTTGTCCATCTAGGGAGCACGGTGCTCTGCGATTGCTTTCCACTGCTGGGGGTTTGTCTTCTCGTCAAATAATCCTAAATCTTAACCTGAAGGCGTTATTCACGACGGATCTGATAATGCCATACAACGGCTTCTTATCTTTCCAAATGGAATTCTGATCTGTTCTACAAACGTTCACTCTCTTTAACCGTTCAAAAGCTGGCTACAGTAAAAGCGAAACCTAGTACAATTGTCATACACCCGACTGAGTTCCTAGACTGACCTCATTGGCTGAGTGCAAATGTTAACGGTTACAAAAATCTCAAGCTATTTCGTTGTTGGAGCCCATTCTTCCAACAGTCTATGCGATCTACTTTGCCGACAGGTCAAATCCTAGGTTTCCCACTGAAAATCCATAGATGGCTTGATTTTTGCCTCTAACCATTTACAAGTAGTGTACCTGTTACGTCAGGCGAAACGAAGACCACATGCTACCAAACACCAAATCACTCGAACTTACAATCCCTCGAAATCGGACATTCCACCGTGGCACAATATGCGAGGTAGAGTTGTGTATGCCGGCTAATCCCACAGCTTTGGGTGTGTTACCCGGTGCCATTGTTTTTCGGGGTAGGGGGGAAGGTGTCGTGCTTATTGACAAACATGGGTTTGGGCAGTCTTGAACAGTTGCTATGGTTGCCAAAAAAGTTGTTTGCTTACGCATCGGCTCTAAATTGGCCGCTCACAACTGGAGCTAATGTTAGATGTTCGAAATTTTCGATGCGAAATTTTGGGACTAAAAGACTGCGTCTCCAGTGAATCCCGTTGCTAGTGACTCATTTGATTGGTACTATTTCCATTATAAAAGTAACGAACAGTGTTCTGGGAGGCATCGCTCTCCTGTACATATCCCATTATTTTGCACATACGAGTGTTCACATACAACAGCGGGTTACCTGATGAATCACGGCTGAAATTAAGAGGCGTTTAGTATTGTAGTTATAATGGTTGAATCTGAGCGTAAATGAATGCAGTGAAAATTCCTCAGACAGTTGCGAAGCGCAATTTTGTTTTGCGCTCCCTGAAAAACGTCTGTCAAATGTGAAGCGTTGACGTCCATGGAAAGTCCAGACACTACGATTGAATCTTTGAAGGACAAAGTGGACGAACCTCGGTCCTTTCGAAGAAGTATTGATGAACAGGCAAAGTTTTGATAACCGTTAATAAACCAGTAGTAGACGCCTTATGGCCCACTGATTCGAGGATCCGACCGAAAGAGATGTCTTTTGCAGGCTGGGATCTCCTAAGAGCAGTTTCTCAGAGAGTAAATAGAACATGAATTCAGATGTAATTACAATCGACATCTACGGAGGACATCTACAGGACGCACAGCACAACTTTGAAGCAGACTAACTATGAAGTCGGTTCCCAAAGATACTAACTAGTAGAGTACTGCATTCTATTTTGTGAAGATAGTGAACCGTTTAGGGCACTGTATGCTGAACGAACTGGCCTCATGTTTTTAACCAACGAATTTATGACCTCTGCATTATAGCGTTTAAATAAGCAGTTTATCAGAAACTGTGGTACCAAAAACTCCTCTTACTTCCTTATGTACTCAAGTTCACAAATGTTCTACTCATTCCAAAATTGCGTGAGAAGCTGTGAGAAAATTAGCGTTGCCTGATGCATCTTTTTTTTTCGACAAGCGAATTAAGCTTAATCTGGTTTAGACGTAATATATACTCATAAGATGGCTGGAAAGTCTTATAGCCCACGATCGGTTTAGCCCGGTATAAAAGAATGTTTTGAGGTTCCTTTTCGTACTGGTACACGGCAATGTCACTTTTAAAACTCTCACTTCATCTGATTACCATTCCGAATGACTTCTATTCTGCTACTGTAATTTTGGCGTCATCGTAAGATTTTGTGTGTAGTGTCCTGAGTGCGAGTTTCTGGAATAAGAAGTGAAAAGATTTTTTGCGCCCAAACGTAGTTCGATCTTTCGATCTTCAGTCGATTCCAGATAAAATATGAAGTGGGCCTCGTGCACCACGTTGAGGAGATGAATGTTGAATGCGATCAATTCAGACGCGTTTAGTGCCCTCGTCCTAATTCGCAAATGATAATATTTTGTACAGTTAACCACCACGAAGTTTCTCTGATACTCTTGGTGCAAACACAGACTCGAAAGTGTTGATGAGGGACAGAACCCTGGTTGTTGAAATAGCATTCTACGATCTTGTCCAGTGGGTTATAAAACTGCGACCCGGTTATTCAGCTCAAGAGGTAGCGTGTTATAGCACAGTAAAAGATAACGGGTTTTTACGCATCACATATCTGTGGGTCTATTAATGATTGCGTATCACACATAAATGCCCTTAATTGACGTTTCAAGATGGATATCAGATACAGACTGAATTTCTTAAGTTTCTATGGGCTACCTTACAAAGCGCAGATAAGCATAACACAAAACAGCGTTATTATTTCGTCTGTCATCTGTTTCCCAAATTACTTCTCTAAGGGAAAATGATTGCAAAACAGTTAACAAGAAAGTAGTTTTGACGTTGCCGAATATAGAATCATCCAGACAAGTTGCAACCTAGTGTTAACCAGGATTTCTAAGACCGGGGACAGGAACAAAACAGTGAGCTCAAAGTCCAGTGGTATGAACAAGGGGAGACAACTCGTTACCAAGCAAGCTGCAACGTCTAAAGCAATTGTATGGTGGATTGTTTGGTGATCGGTAGTACCATCACCCACAGGCGATTTTACCCTCCTCGGTGTTTTGCATCAGTTGTGGCCCCTCAGGAAACCACCGATCCTTAGGGTTAATTTTGCTTTGTACAGTAAACAGCACCCAGTTCTCCACGAACGTGAGGGAAAGAGTAGTGAACCGACCTGGACCAACAGTTGATGCTTCACAACTGTTGGTCTTGAAAACCTCTATCATAAGTTTCGGAAACTGTGAGATTATCCGTGAGGACCATGGGAAACGTGAGAATAATTAAGCAATTATTCACTAGTGGTCAGACTCCGGAAACATTTTGACCTGAAGCCACGTAAAAGTGATTTGCCAGTGGACATTTTGCGCTTACCACATGCACTATCGTTTTCACTGTCTTTTTATGTACGAACTATCCCGGCATAGCGATGTTCTTAACCCCCTGAGTTCGTTTCTTTTCAGTTCCCCTCCCGTTGATTCGATTCTCACATTCTGATTCGATTATTGGTCGACATCGGCTAGTACGCTCGCTGATGCGTCTCTAAGAATCACGCTTAAGTTTGTGGACTCTCCGGCAAGCCAAAAAGGTCACCGTCCCTGCTTCAGCTGATTGACAAATCCCGCAGTGTCACTGGTACATCCATACACCAATTGTGTGTGGATTTTTGTACATCACTGTAGTGGTACATCACGTATGGTGAAGTTACCTACAGAAGCCACGTTTTCCAGTGGCAAGAAAATTTGGTTCATTAAAATTGAAGTCACAGGGAACTAATACTTTAAAGGGAACTATATAGAACAACGTTCATAAGGATTCAAATTGTCGGCTTAAACTTAGTACCGACTGTACTGAATAAGTTCCTGCATTGTCAGAAAGGACAGGACAGACAACTATGATGATATGATTATCCACGAAAAACGACAACATAACAAAGACCATGATGCAGATACCAAAAGCACCTTTTTAAATCACAAGAGCTGCGGAATTCTATGCCACTTAATTGGGAAAGGATGTAGGCTTGCGAGGAGAGGGTAAATCTGCAGAATTTAGGATCATAAATTTGGAGTAATGTGGTTTTAAATTCCAGCTGACCTAATGCAAGTATTTTGTTGACAATCAAGTTATCGAATGAATTTTACCATTTAAAATGACAAAAAGAACAGCTTCACACGAAAGAACCAAAGTGAGCACATTATTTTTAAATTATCTGCTTACTAGTAAACCGATTTATCGGGATTTCCTAAAACTGCGCCAGGTCTGATCCAAAATTTATTGACCGAAGTCGGAAGCCGTCCTTGTGCTATGTTAGGGGTAGTGTGAGGAAATTGAAACCAGTTGCACCAGTCGAAGAACAAGACTCAAAGTAGACCTTGGATAAAGCACAGGATTCTATACCAAAACACATAATTGTAACAACAGGACAAGAATGAGAGATTTATGATGAAATGTTCTTAATTGCATCGGAACTGATCCAAAACGCTAAAAGAGAGACTAATGATTTCTGTGAATATTTTAGGCCAACTTTCTTTTCCCGGTTAACTGACCAATTTTCGGTTCAAATTGAGGTCTTACACGACTCCGATGACGATTGGCTACACATGGAAACAAAAATATGTTAAGAAATCCTAAGTATAAACTACTGATGGTGTGACAGTAGCACGTAAATGCACCGGCTGATACTTGATCTTGTGTGTATTTGAGGGTTGAACGTGTTTGCCAACTTTGCCAATAAACACTTTTTCACTCAAAACCATCTCCGTCTGTGTTTTCTACAAACACATGTTTTACTCAGTCTGTCAGCTTTATGTAATTTGAAAAGCAGGATACAAGTTGACTTTATACGATGAATGGAAGGAAGTTTGATGCGAACTGAGGTATGGATTTATTTTACATTGTTCTTGTAAACAAAAATGTGTACAATGTTAGTTGATAACAGTTAGTTGATGACAGTCCTCTGAAAAGAGAAAAGTGGGATATGAATGGCAGCGTACTACGGTTCATAGCGTATTTAGATAGTTCTTTTGAAATCTTTATCGAAAAAACAATGAAAACTCACATGACGCACTAACTGGAATAGGACAACAAACCAGATCCCAACCTCCGTGAGGTGCAAGTTCGAAGCAGCGTCTGAAGGATTAGCAAGTGAACAAGAAAGTTGGATGTAAACAAAAAATATATGAGTCACATAATTCAGCTCATATGGGCACAACTTTTATTTAATACCATAGTAAGAAAATCCACTATGACCAAAGACGGAACAAGTAAGGGATAAAGGAGAATAGCTTTCCAAATTGTGTCTTAACGTGACTGTTGCCAATTTATATAGTATAACAGTTGCATTCAGTATTCAGTTGTAGATATAAGGCAGTGTGAGTGACTATTTTGGAACAACCGTGGGCTGTTGTGCAAAACAATATACATTTTTCAGGTCCAACAAAACTGAGATACTCTAAGAGGCGTCACTGCAGAACTGTGTATGAAAGCTAGACGATTGTAGAGTGTCTTAAGTACTTATCAGTCCTAAAGTGCCACCAGAAATTTATACTTCAGCCTATATCTGTCTCATCAGGAAATTGGTGGAGCAGATCAGAAGCAAACACACCAGAGGGATATTTGTTTGCAAGAGTTTTGCATCATTTCTCCTTTGAGAAACCGAGAAAATCCTTTGCAAACAGCGGTTGCTTGAAGCCTTTCGTAAGGTCTACACAAAAGTGATTAGAATCAAAGAACGCTGATATTGTTTTCTGATCTTAGTTGGCAAAATTGCCTGAATGGAGTAAAGAATATTCCAAACGGGCACTCACTTCCAACCTTTGATATTTTTCCGTAGTAGTACGTGTTTGTGGTGGTTGATGCTTTCTTCAAGGCTGAATTTGCATTGTTCAGAAAGTCTTTTGCTTTGTAGTCTGTCTTCCTTTTCTTCACTTCGTCTTGATCCACACTGATGAACGTCGTGACTTCTGGCTTTCTTGCCTTAGTAACTCGACAAGAGCGCCATGCATATGCCAGCGGCGAATACGACCTGGCAGCATTTCTCAGCTACAATGTTAAAATCGAAACCAGCGAACCAAGACTCATTCAGACAAAGAATGATCAAAAGCCTAATTCGTTTAAGCTCATCATCCTAGATAACATTGGGTTAAAACCAGGATATAAAAAACTTATTCGCAGAAGATTCCTATATGAATATTAATTATAATTGTTTGCGTAAAGTTTATTTTCATTTGACCGTTTTACTTACCGATATGCATAGGGATTGGTTGAGTTGTTTGTAGTGTTGAGATGAACTGTCTTCCCACTTGGTGTCGTATACGGGCCTCTTGTCCTTATACACCTCACCTGTTACGGATAGAACTGAAACGAAAATCAAGTTATTTTTCGTACAGCACAGCACGAACGGGAATGACGAGAATATTAGCAACTGTGATGTGAAACAACAGACATGGTAGCAACAGTGCGTAACGCAAAAAGGGCTAGTAGTCTAACCAAAGAGGCTTTATCAAGCTGGAACTTACGCCCTTCTTTGTAGGTGGATTTTTTCGATGTAGATTTGGACGCTAAGCAGAGTGGATTGTTCACAAAAAAGGCATTAGGGTATGTTTACTGTATATCAATGGGATATGACATTTTCGGAAGCCAGCCATTTTCTATGAAGATATGATAGTTGTGTCGATAACAGCTTACAACACAAAAAAACCAGACAGTTCATCGTTCAGACTCCTTCAGATTCGAACCTAATACTCTTGCTAAATTAATAGCTTTCAGTTATTTTTCCAAACGGGCAATCAGAGATATATCTTTCTTGATTGTTAGCTGCTTAAATTCCAATTTAAGTGGCAATAGAATTCAAAAAATCGTAATTCTTGTTAGTGTTTGCGGAATATTATGTGTAAAATCCATATAGAGCCACTTCACTTTTTGAGTATTTCTGATCATCTCTAACTTAATTGATGAAGTTCACATTGGGTGTACCCAAACCTATTAAATGATTAGCGATTTACTGAATATTAACAGTAATACATCTTGAAGATGTCCGACGTGACCAGCAGATTGAGCGGGACAACCAAACCCCTATGTGATATTAAGAGATATTAAGTGAGACCAGGTTTAAAATTGATATTCGCACAAGTCTGGCATTAATCAGTTAACCGTACGTAAAAATGAATGAGATCTTCAACAAGTTGGTAAACATACGACGCTGATCACGAAGGCATCGGCTGAGGCAACATAAAGGCAGACCATTGGGCACAGCTCAAAGACGTCAAACAACCTGTTACAATGTTCATGCCAGATGGAGTAACGGTTTTATGGGATACGAGGCTGGGTGGGTGATAGAAGAGACGGAATCGGATTGATAGACTTTTTGGTGAGTACATTAGGAAGCGGAAAGATATCAAACAGTCATTGTTGCGAGCGGCTTTTCGATTTACACAGTTCCTCACCTGCCTTGGCGCGATTTTTCTGCTAACACTACATTGCTCCTTTTTTTAGATACAACAGCCAGGAGGGAAAAAGATTGCTCAAATGAAAGTGAGATAGTCGCAGGAAAAAGAGGAGTTCCAGGTTAGGTATAAACTCAGATAAGGCGTGCCTCAAGGTTTAGGCCACCGGGTTTTAACATTTCAAGGAAGAATAATGCAAAATAAATTTACTTCTCCCAAGTGAAATACATAGCGAGCGAATCGCCTCAACCAGAGCCTGGTTTGAGTTTCTGGACGGCTGAGGTTTAATGCAAAATCAAGTGTTTTCGGACACTATTTTTGTTTGTGAGGTTGTTCAAAATAATGCATTCCATTGTGGAACGTGATAGAGCCTCAACAACTAGCTTTCTTTTCGCATTCACGGTTTGACTTGGCGATATATTTGATGGACATTTTTGGAAACTTTCGAACATCGGATACACTCACTAGCAGTTCAGATCTTCATTTCACAAAAAAGCATGTGATGTCATATTGTGAAAGGTATTAGTTGCCAGACTGTGAAATTTAATCACATGTGTATCTACATCAAACATAAATAGGTGGTTATAAAGCTGTTACTGAATTTTCCAAAAATGTGTGATCTCGATAGTTCGGCAAAAATATTACAGCCACTTGCCACAACGTGCGCTATAATTGGAACTTGTTTCCTCTGAATGTATTACTGAATGCAGACGACCCATCTTCAACGGCCCATTCGCCTGGGTTCAAATTTTTTGTCGTATAGAAAACATATCTACAGTCATCAGTAACGGAAACCGTACAACCGCTACAACACCATATAACAAAGTCTGATGCAAAGTGCGTCTTGATCCGCCACATATTCGTAAGCGAAGTGCAGTTTGTGTGAAATTCGCAGTTGACTTAAATCACGATAACCATTGCAAAAGTTGTAGAATTTAACATTTTCCCATTACCGCCAAAGAGGCTAAGTTTACCCATTGAAGGCGAATACAAGATAGGGATTTTTAGGTCCTAAGCGGGGATGAGATTCGGTACAGGTTAAACGCTCTGTGATTTGTGAAACTCCTTTTTACTGGTCACCGGAAACATTAACTAGGGATTGGTAATTTCTCTTAAAAGGCAAACTGGACAGAAATTTTTTCACATTGATTATGGGCTGGGTTATTCAGAACAAAAAGCGCGAGTTCAAAAGAAGCCCATTATCCACACGATTGACAAGCCCAACCTCCATAACTTTCGGAAAGATAACCGACTTACCTATCAAGTGAATGTAGGTGCTGAGACAAAAACAAAACGTAATGATTTGCATACGGTTTTAAATTTTACAAAATGCGATTAAATCTGCGCACAGTTACCATGGCTTAATGCTGCTTGCGTCGTATTTATATCGAAGCAATCAACATGTTCTTTTTCTGAAAGCGAGTTTGCTTAGTTATGGCGGGAATGCTGAGTCATGCAAGGCACAGTGTTTGGATAAGCCAGACGGATGAACGCGCTAGAGCTACGACATTGTTAAAATGGATTCGTAAACTACTGCATGAATCACTCACTGATGTGTTTGGCCATTTTCTTATTCAGGTTTTTTAAGTGCTGTTCCTCTGGACTGATAGATCGTGTATCAGTTGTAGCTCAGATACGAACACAGCTCTTTACTTCACCTATTGCTATCACGAAATAAACCAATGACATTTCCCGCCGCAAAAATCAATACCTCCTGACCTCTCGCATAATAAATACCCCCCTTTCTGAACTTAGATCATTTTCACTAGGAATCACTTGTATAATTTCGCCAACAAATGTCAGTAGTATAAGCGAGAATTTATGAAGGTTTTCATTGTGAATTCAGAATGCTTATGTTATTTTCGGCACACCCCATGAAATTTCAGATTTGTTTCTAAAATAGAAACTCCATAAAGAGGAATTTTTTGGTCTAATATAATCTTTATGGACCACATGAGCTAAGATTTCATGTAAGGCTTTCGAGAGGATGAACTTATTACAAGAGTGTTTCTGGGAAGTCTACCCAGAGTAAACCAATATTTTTTGTTGAATCATTAGAACGGCTAAAAAGGTTTTCTGGCCCATAACGGCACAAACTACCAGGTCACACATACAGCATTTTGCATCTCGTATTAGTAAGAGGAGGTAACATTCAGTAAAATGTGAATTTTTCATATTTTTTCTAGTGAACTGCTATAACTGATATAACAGTGCATTTGGGCTACACAAATGAAGACTGGTTGCATTTCTGAACCAAATCTGTAACAATTTGTGTTTACTTAATATAGCTGGCCCCATTATTGAAGGCATGTGTTGACCCTGTCTCTGTAATTTGAAGGTATGGTTCTTAGAACATGTTGGCGCCCGTCAATTATAGGCTAAACTGATCGTTCTAACGCGGCTTATTGTGAACTGATATCATCAACTAATGATGTAGGTGCAGCTTCTAGGTCAGTTGTGAACTGAACCTTTATTAGAATCGTTGTCCAAGTGAGGTCCGATTTCCACCCAAGGTCTCATGAATTCCGGCAATACCGGACATCGTTTACTTTTCTACTCAAAGAACTTGCGACATGGTGACGTACGGTGGCTTAGTGTCTCCACCGAATCCTATCACTGCATTCAATCTTACAGCCTAGCCTGATGCACATTTAAATCTTCGAGAAGGCAGCTAGGTGGCTCACAATAGCTCAGTTTGTTCTCCCTGACCGGAAAACCGCAACTTGGTATGCTCGAAGACCCTACTCTAAAAGTAAATGCTATCTAAATGGATAGCATCCCACTGTCTTCCCAGAAAGTCTTTGTTAATTATCCGGACAGATGAAATCTAGCAAGCTTTATCATAACACCATCATTGGGTGGCCTGAGTACACGGTTGGGGCCACAGTCTGCCAGTCGCCAAATGCACCACACGAAGCAATCTTTTGAAGAACTGTAGTAATTGAAAACAAATGTGTCGCAATTTTCAGGCAACTTTACATCGAAGGAAGACATAAAGGCACAACGTTTATCTGACTGATAAGCAGGGATATTCTTCAAATCTTTGCAGGGCTGGACAACAAATTTCGACAAATTTTCTGGCCTGGTGGACGCATTCATTCCCGCAATTCCGATCCATCTGGGCGCATATCTAAAACTTTTTGCCTGTGCAAGTTGGGGTATACGCTTGCTCAGGTGAAAACGTCATCTTTCTGTTTAACCTTCTTATATTTAAAATTATATTAGCTAGCACCGTTTAGGCCATAAACAGCAGTGAGTGTCGAGAATGAGTTGTGTCATATGTGACAGCTTTCTTGGTACGTGAATGAGCTGGTGATCAAACTGCGGTTACCACGGTGTTTTGTTAATACTTAGTGGGCTGGAAAAATTATTTGAGTAAAATCATTTGGACGCCGGACAAGTTTGTGACACGTGACTTGAACAGTCGTACATTTGTTCTTAAAGTTCCCAAACAGGGAGACTAAAGCGGCAATGGCAACCAAGTATCATGAGTTGTTTCTTGGCGATTATTCGGCTTCCATGCAAAACGTAAAATCTGGCCTAAAAGTGCCTTTCATGACGTTAATCTGCTGGTGCTTGACAGGCATGTTCAGGCTGAAGCGAGATTTGGGGATTTTCAACTCTAAACTTAAAACAGCATGAAGACTGGCAGATGACTGACAGTTAACGCTGAATGGCCTCATTTGTATCGATCCCATTCGTTTGTTAAGTATACATATAGCCTATTTACAGCTGCTACCTCATCTCACTTTATGGATCTTAGTGCTGGTGTGATCCTGCTGTTCACGCTAGTTGGGATTTAGCTTATTATGTTTGAACTCAGCCAGAAAGTACCATTGGGACAGTCTGATGGAGACCAGTGAGTTTCTATACGGGAAGTGTGTACTAAGTAGAGGTAGTTATAAACGCATACTCGCAACTCTGATAAGATTAAAAGAACAATGTGTTTTCCTCATTCAATCAGAATATCCATATGTACGGAAGAAGTGATGCTGCCTTCCTTCGAGAAGGAGGGATTAGAAAATGTTATTTTAAAAATTTGCACACTCCAGCCATCTAACACTCGACTGGCAACGCAGGTGAACACTGCAATACAATCGAAGTATATTTTAAACCAGCTCAGGTTTGGAAGACCATCTGCTGTGCCTGTTATCATCAAGAGCTCCATAAGTCCTTCAGAAGTCTCCATTTTCTTATTGAGTATCTCAGTTCTTTATCATTTCAGACAATTTTGCATAGCAGAAAGTCACTGCCAATAGAGTTCCGTGAGCGAGCAAAGCTACACTAAAAACAGACGGCCCTGTGTATTTTGAACAGACTGTGAAGTAGCTGCTAGTGCGGGTAGAAATTCACTGCCTATGACCACAGGACCAACTAACTGAAACGCATATGGGCAGATGCTCACTGGAGGTAACCGTATATATATATATATA